CACACACACACACACAGATTTGTGGACATGCGTTGTAATTATTTGAAACTAGAGGAACTTGTTTGGCACCGTAACACATACACAGAGTTTTGAACATGTTTAGACAGCTCAGGTGGATGTGAAATAGTTGAAGCAGTGTGTTAGAACAGCTGTGTGAGTGTGTAGGGCTTTTATAGTAAGCAGCATTACCTCTTTGAAAAGAGTCTTAAGGCGTCCACCGTGTCTCCAGCGCTGCGCACGTCACCATGGGCGTCAGCCATCTCCCTACAGGCATGAACGCACGAGAGGAAAAGTCATATAGAAAATGAAGACACGCCTCTTTCTCCTTCATTTCCTGTGTATTTCTGCGCCGTGTCATACCATCCAGTGACTTTCGATTCAGTTAAAACATTTTCTCATCATCACCAGCCAAAGTGAGGAAGAGGAAGTGAACCCCTCTTCTCTGCTTCTTATCAATTAAATGATAGACTTTACCTCCACATATATTTATACATACACACAGAAACACATTTACACACGTATATTCACACATATATGTGCACACACGCAGTATCGGGATACATAAAGTATCTATCTATCTATCTATCTATCTATCTATCTATCTATATGCTGTTTCTAAACTATACACATTCTATGTACAACATGTACTGTGCTGTATATCACTGTGTTGTTGTCGTTGTTGTTTGTGTCAAGGACCTGTTTGGAGTATTTTGGCACAGATCTCAACAGATTTCTTCGTACACACTTCAGCAGTATTTCTTTGGAAGAAAGATAACCGTGAGGTGATTTCCAGAGGAACAGGACGCTGTTTCTTTGTAGTGTTCTGACAAGCTGAGATAAAAATGAATCCACTCCCACTGAGGGTGGAAACTGTCTGGAGAGGGTTAAAAAAATATATATCTATAATTTGGGTAAACAAACCCTTTAAATGTACTTGATTTGCATGTAAAGATTATTCAGTGTGTTGACTGTAATTCCTGAATAGAAGAAACTGACTCATTAAGTGTCGTTAAGGATTTCATCATATTGGTTTCGGGTATTCTGACACAGACGGTTTCAAACTGAGCACAGAGACCAGATCCCTCCAGGAATCTGTTCACACTGGGACTCTGCATCTGAGTATGTTCACATCAGGGTGGATCAAACCAGCTGCTACACACTGCATAAGATACAGTGGTGGGCTCGTTAGTCAAACTATTGAATGTATCACTCATTTCTCTTCTCAAAAGTAATGTTACTGCTCTGCTACTCCCCACAGAATGGGTAACTGTATCAAGTGGATTACAATTCAATATAGTTGGATAAAATCAGAGTAATGGGAATACTTCCAGCCGCTGAATGTAAGCGTTTCCATCTTCTAAACTAGTTTCCTCTACAATTTAAAAAATGTATCCATGGATGTGATTGGATTATTGGATTTTAAATTAGTAGGGTTGTTTGCTCACAAAAGTAATACTGTAAGTAATGAGTTACACTAATAGTCATTGGGGAAAACAATATTATTACTGTAACATTATAACTAGTAATGAGTTACTGCACAACACTGATAATAAATAGCATTATATATGATACTAAATATCTTTAATCTATCAGTATAAATCTAATAATACATAAAGGTGTTAGGACGTGGCTCATAGTGAAACTCCACTGACTAATCAATAAAGGATCAGCTTTTATTATCAGCAAAGGTTCAAAAAGTGAAAGTGATTCCTGCCACTGTAATGATTTAATATATATATATATATGTATATCAGAGTGTAACCAAAGATAGAGTAACAGACAGTTTTCAGTGAGATTATAGGAAGGTATTTTAACATGTTTGTAGAGTTAAAACAAAAAGCTGTGTCATGTAAACTCAGGAAGTCTCATCACAACAGGAACACGTTACTGTTCCTTCACTTACTCAAACATGCAGTTCCCTGGCTACAGAAAACACACAGTGCGAGTTAACAACATATAAAACAGTTTGGTAAATGTCAAGAACATACTAGTTAAGGTATTTTAGCAACCTAAAGAACTCTTCAGGCTAACGCTGTTATCTGTGTTTAATAACCAACAACTCACACCACAGTCCTGCTTCGTCGAACTCATACGTGTAAATTAAGTATTTTTAAAACTGAACACCTTTATATTTCTTTAAATAGACGTACCTTTGTAACGAGACGGTGACAGGAGTTAAGTGTTAAGAAGTCCTCCTTACTATCACTATAAGGAAATGTCACTGTTCAAAGTACAGAACTGTAACTCTCAGCCAATCAGCTGCCTCTGTGGGCGGGACTACCCACAAACACTGCAGCTGATTGGCTGAGATGTTGAACTAATGTAGAAACTGAAAATACAGATTTACCTGTCAGTGAAAATCACTTAACACAACTCATTTTTACTGCAAACATCACCTTAAAGTAGAACTGCACAATGCCATATACTGTCCTATATATTGATCTTTATTTATCTATATTTATCCTCTATACAGTTCTCTACATTTATCTTATTTGATTTCATTTTCCTTTTTCTTTTATTTTTATTCTTATCTCTACTTTCTATATCTAGCAAAGAGTTTATTGTTTATCATCTTGTATGTATTTTTTTACCTCTTTATTTTTCTACACTGTTTTGTGAGCCGGCTGGCTGGAAATTCATTTCCTCACAATCCCAAAAGGATCAATAAAGAGAAGTCTAAGTTTGTCCTTTCAAAAGAGGCAGCTGTGAACGATCAAGATATGAGTAAATTCATTCTTCCCAAAAAAGGAGCCTTATTTGTCCTTGTGGGGCAAGTCTATAAATAGCATTTCGTTGCTGTGGTGCATGTGTGCATCTGTAGTGCAGTGCTGAACCCTGAGTGCGCTGCCGGCTGCGTGGAAAAGAGCACGAAGCTTTAGCCTTACACAACAGTAAACAACAATAGGCTACCAAACTGTGCCAGGACAGTCACACACAGAGAATTAATACCACTTACAGTACGAGCCCTAAGGCGGGTCAAGATGTGGGCAGACATGCAGGCCGACTGCACGAACCAATCACAGCTGCAGGGTGGGATTTGTTGTGAGAAAGACTGTGTGTATGAGCACAGGAGGCAGTCTAGACTAGGCATGGGTGTGGAATCCACGCATGCTTAATGTGTTGGTGTTGTGTGTGGGCCTGTCAGTTGAGCATATACGGACTCGGAGGCCGTTCCAATAGTGCCTGTGTGGTAAATGACGTAAGTGTGTGGCTGTGCATACGTGACCATGTGTGTGTGTGTGTGTGTGTGTGCCTTGTTGATACAGACTGGAGGGAGGATTACACATGCTCATGATGGAGTGCCAAAGGAGAGAGAAAACGCTCCTCTCCAACTAGCCGATCCGAGCAGCAGCAGTGGCAGAGCAGGTCGCATTTAGTGCACATAACTCAGGAACACACATACATGAGCACGCAGACCACACACACCAACAGTTGTGGTGTGTGTTACAGTCGTACTACATCAAAGCTGGTCTGTGTTGTAAATTCAAAGGACAGCCAGTATTAAAGCTACAGTAGGTAACTTTTATAAAAATGTCTGAGAAAAATAGTTGATCGTTAATTAGAGACGCTTTGTGTTAGTGGCTTGAAATCTTATTCCCAGGTCCCACAGTATCTGTATTGTACGACAATCAACTATGTTTCTTGGCTCTGATTGGTTGTTTTCGTTCAGCTCTGGTGGACAAATGCCATTAGGAGCACTTGGAGGAGCCATTTTTTTCACAGATTGTCTCTCTCGTGTGTTAATATCAGCATGAAGTGAAAGAAAACAAATATGACAAAAGGTCATTTACTCACTGCAGCTTTAATTGCTTTCCTGGAATAATGATACGCATTAACATATTACAACCCCTCGCCTCATCAGTGCGTTTCTAAATAACGATAACACAACGATTCTTATTTCCAGTGGATGATACACTAATGAACACAGGCCTATTAACATTATATTTAACTCTGCCAATAGATCCTCCTAAATGTTACACACTGGACCTTTAAGACAAAAGAGCCTGACAGAAAACTAACACACTGATGTGTTTTCATGTCTAAATATAAATCAAAACATGTGGCTACTGTTTCCTCGGAGGTTAAGAGGTTCGGCGCTGGCCTGTGCAGAGGAAAGAACAGACAGTGAGAGTAACAGACAGTACTGTGAGTGGAAACATAACTGGACATCAACAGCAAAAGGACATTCAGATATATCAGTGGGACCAAAATCATGAATATAAATAACAAGCTGGAAATAAAGGTCTTTAGTGCCACTTGTGAAACCGTGAAATAGGAGGACTTTCTCAGTGAAGTGGCTCAGTTTTTCACACTGGTTTATATATTGACAAAGGAGAACATATGAGAGACCACAGAGAAATTCAAACACTATTTATTCTGCTTGCTCTAAGCAGTCATTCTACCCTTTGACTGACCTTCTATTAATACTAAACACAACATGCAGCCGTGCTAAACCTCAACCCTCACAACTCACTGTACACAGTGCCTGAAGTTACATTAACGTAATCTGCCACAGCCATGATACACAGGTGCTAGGCTAATATTTGCACAGCGATAGTACGCAGTGAGGTTGCAGCGCCAGGCCATTCAATAACTGACATTCCTGCGTCAAACATTAACCGTGAACTAGGAAGAGAAGAACAGATAAAACCACAACAACAAAAGCATCTGACCCACAGTTACCTTGTGGAGGTGAAAGCTCTTGCCTTGCTGTCACATGGGGTATGCTCGTTTTTAGTAATCATTACACCAACTGGGAGGAGGAGGGAGGGAAAACAGAGAGAGAGGTGTCTGTTAGGGAACATGTTGACATGTTCTAACTTGTATATTATTATTATGCTTGACTGAGCTAACTAATATAAATCTCAGTCTCTCTCTGGGACACACGACGCTGGGCTGTGGATTTAGTGGTTAATAGTAACCGGTTTACATTATGCTCCACAGATCCAGGTTTAGTGCAGAGCAGTTCCACATTATTCACATCCTCAAGCTAAATACTCAAAAACACTGTATTAGACTCTGCCGAGAGACTGTTTCTTCAATTGATTGACTACACATACACAGCACGGTGGAGCAGTGGGAGCATGGTATCATGCTGGGCTCTTGGCAGCAGAATATTTCTACACTAACACAGCTAAATTTAAAAACGCATCTTTTCCTGTCATAATGTTTCACCAGTAGATAAATCTGGAAGCACCAGTGACTCATTTTCAACACTGTCGCTAATTGCTCATTTTTTAATACAAATCAATAGCATATATCACAAAATACACACATCGTCATTATCTTGAACTAATGTTGATTTCACGAACATAAAATAGTCATTAGATCAGCGGCCTGAATGCAGCACAGCTTCCGTGTGTTAACGGTATTTTTAGCTGCAATCAAACCACAGTTTTATACTAAAAGTTGCTCTTTTGGTTTATAAAATGTGTAGTTATTTTAAATTATACACATCTGTCAACCCTACTTATGGAGCTGTTCCCTGATTTAGCTCTGTCTCTCTGGAGCCAAACACACACACACACACTAAGAGTCAGAACATACTTCAACATCAATTTTAGCTGAAAATCCCCCCCAAAAATAATAATTTAATAAGTGTAACCAGTCTGTGAGTATCTGAGACAAAACTAGATGTTTATTTGATGGCACCGTTTGGCTTCACACACTGTAATTTTTTAGTATCCCACATCTCTTTGCATCTTAGTGAAAACACACAGCCTCATAGGACTTTAACAGGTATTCCAAGTGAAGTTTGAAGTCTTAAAAGAAGAAAAAATAACACACCACACATTATATAGATAGAATCAGAGCAAGAGAACAGTAAAGCTCTTCATCTCTTATCAACAACTCTATCTGCAATAAACTTTGTTGTTGCCAATTACCTACAGCTCTCATTCTCAACCCCCGGGGCATCAGACTGGTACCAACCGTGGTAGATTGTCCTCCGAGTAACGAGGATACGATTCTGCAGAAAATATAATTATATAACTTATTAGTCTACCATCGGGGCAATTAAACATCAACTTGGCACCGTCTGTCTGTGCTACATCTTTCCTCACGACTCCGTGTCACGCCCACAACAACAGGATACTGACTGTCAGTACAAGAGTTCATCTTTCTGTCGTCACCCACCTGCCTGCACTATCTGTGTGTGCTGTGTTCCCATGAGGATGAGCAAACATAAAAAAAGCATCGAGAGTTTGAGAGAGCCTGACAGTTTCTTCAGAGGATGAGGGGGAGATAAAAGGCACCATGTTCGGTTGGCCTACTTAAGGTTAAAACCCACCCTTTATTTCAGTCGTGGCCCTCCTCAGGCTGGCAGTAGTGGCAGTAATGGTGGCGATACAGAAAGGGTCTGTAATCCAAAGAATTTAAGACATTTTGGTTACAGATTTTGGTTACACATCTTCAGCTAACACACTGCCATTTGCTACGGCACTGCCAGGAGCTATATGAGACGATTTTAAGCATATTAATAATTCAAAAACCTCTGCCCTGACTGATGCACTTTGCTAGATTATTTAAAAAGGCAAAGGCATTCGAGAACACACCGACACACATTCAGTCTCAGACGTAGGACAGGGGACAAATAAAGCAGGGATGTAACGTATATACGTGTCCCATTCTTGATTACAGAACAATTCCCTCAATCAGGGTCTCAATCGCGTCTCAGAAGGAGACATTGTACGCTGAAGTAAGTGCTCAGCTTGTGTGAGTGTGAGAGTGTCAGAGCATTGCAATACTGACAGCCAGAATCAAGCCAGATGTTGCTAATATGATGGCACAGATTAAGTCCAGACACTCCCTCCATCCTTCCGTCACTCCATCTGTCCTCCTTTCAGCACCCCCAACCCCGTTAACCCCACCGTCTCCAGTGACGACAGGACTAAAGGATGGCCATATGACCTACATATACACCAATCGTCATGTGTTACGTACACTCAGTGTTTCCTCTATGTTGATTTTGGAGCGCCGCGGTATCAGAAATGGGGCAGACGCACAATGTAGTCACGGTTGCCTTTTAAATGATCCTGCCGACATAATGCAGCCCCAGTCCCCAACAAGTAGGAAGTCTTCAGAGGTTATTCGGGGCTCAGTTAACTCCACATCACCTGTTGTCGTGTGTTTGTCAGCTTATTTGTCAAATCATTCGCTTTCTTCCCAAGTCGGACTATAAACTAACAGCTCCACCACATAACTCACCGCGGCGGGTCAGTTT